TAGATCCAAACTGACGGAACTTCTCTACTCATGACGCCAAAGGTATTGAGGGCACCTAAGCATTCTCTCAATGCCGTGCGCAGAACTTACGAAATGTCAGGGATGGTGCGTTTCTGGAGAGGTAATGTTCAATATAAAAAGCTCTCTGCTCTTTACTTAACGTAACCATGATCTAAGCAGGTAAACGAAATTTGGGAAAAATAATATCTGCAGACTTCTGTTGACATGTCAGACTGCTGTAGCTTGCAGTATGGCGCGATTGTTGCAACTTTTAGTGGTAGGCCTAACGCAAACTGGTGCGCCATGCTATGAAAATGGCGACAAGGTTGAAAATGGATTGTTTTTTTTAATGCGCTGTATAGAGCAACACCATTCAATGGACTTATCTGAAAGACATATCAGACAAATTCCTTTTGGCTTACTAATATTATAATGTTCAAATCTGAAAAGCACAACTTCAGTATGGAGGAAGATATTTACAAAATAAGTTGTAAAGTTTTTTTGGGATCACCCTGTATATTACGGATATTTACGGTAATTCTCTCGGCAGCAAGTTAAAGTTATAGTAACCTGCCAGATTACGAATTTCCTGCAATCGGCCATTATTCCGCTATGTCCTAGGCCTTCTCAGTTCAGGCCACCCAGCCCGCACGACTGGCTCCGGCGTTGAGGGCTGAGGTGGACGATCTTATCTTGATAAGCTTGCCTCGAGACTGGTCCTTTCTTATTGAGGATCAATGTGAAAAGCGGCGATTAAATGCGAAAAGCGGCGATAGGCAGATGTTCTAATACTAATACGTATACAGGTGATGGAACATTTTTGCATTACGTTTCTGCGTGCCGATAGTGTAATAGTAATGTGTGTAGTGTGTAGCTGTCTAGTCTGTCTAATCTCCTAGCCTCTTCATTGTTTCATTCAGCCCTCTTGGATGCACACGTTTTTTTTCGTTTGGATGTATTTTCACTACATTCAATTCTAAGGATTAAATTTGTACTTATACAGTCGAACCTGCCCTGACGGCCACCTCTATAAGACGGCCACCTGTACAAACGGCCACTTTCCATTTCCCCCCTTGAGTTTTTTCTATATAATTTAACTGTGTAAAACGGGCACCTGTCCAACGCCACCATATTTTAGCACACAACCCCTATCACACTAAGCAATCTCACCTGTCTAAGACGGCCACCTTAGTGACTCCATTACGCTTTGTCATTTTATTGTGCATTGGCCCCTGGCGTTGTGGGAGAGCCGTCATAATCCAATCACTTGTTGTTGTTGTTAGGTAGTCTCTCCAACCGATCATGTTGCGTAGGCCCCTCCCTCTGTTGACCAACAGAGGTAGGCTACCAATTTTCAGCTGCTGGTGAGGTAAGCGTGTGATCCCTCATAACCCATAAGCCCCGTCCAGAACTCGTACGCAAATCGTAAGTGAGATGAGTGGTCACTGTATACCCAGTCTGTAACAAAGTAACAATGGACGTCAACATGAACTTGAGACAGAAGCGTCGCTCGTTCTCTGAGTGGTGGCAACCCATGTGTTTGTTTTAACACGGCACTCGGTCTTCCTCATCTGTTACATTTCGTTTTATTGTCACCCTTGCGCAAAATCAGCAACAAAATAGAAATAACAAACAAAATACAAATCAACAACAACAACAAAAACAACAACAATCGATTGGGACTTCAGAAGGGAATGGTTTGTTTTCTTCATCTTGATCAGTCCTGCAGACGGCCACCTGTCTTATACGGCCACTTTTCTCCTTGACAATGGGTGGCTGGCCGTCTTACACAGGTTTGACTGTATTATGTGTCGTTCTGTTCAGTCCAGATTCTAGTTTTCTTTCATCTTGAATGTTATTGTTACTAGAATCTACTGTTACTGTGAAAAAGTTTTCAGCTGACGTCTCAGTTTCAGGGCAATGGACCGTGTGAGCAACATTTGAACATGGGAAGAAAGTGTAGGGGATGGGGTAGTAGAAGTGGTTATGCGATATTCCATCTTGATTGTTATCGAAAGCTGATGCAGCTGGCAGATATCTTCATGAAAAGATTTGCGGAGCAAATGAAGGACAGGCGAAGAAAAAAAATAGCAAAGTAACTTTTTTTTTCAGAGGTAAGGGATTGTGTTCAGTTACATGCTTAGTATAATATATAATTCTCTCTCCTCCTCTCTCTCTATATCATGTATATATATAGAGAGAGAAAGAGAGAGAGGGAGAGAGACCACAAAACACTGGTAACATCTCTTATCTAGATTAGACTATTGTAACTCACTCCTAGCAGGTCTGAACAACAGATATTTGTATAGTTTACAAGTAATTCAAAACAATGCCGCTAGACTGATAACAAGATCTAAAAAACGAGACCATGTCACTCCATTATTAAAAGAACTGCATTGGCTCCCTGTAAAAGAAAGAATAATATTTAAAATCTGCGTCATGTGTTTCAAATGTGTAAATAAAACTGCTCCTTTTTTATCTACAAGAACTTATCAATATATATATATAAGCCTGGGAGAAATCTAAGATCATCAAACGATAATACCCTACTTGTGACACCTGTAAAATCATACAAATCATATGGAGAGAGATCTTTCTCATATCTTGGTCCATTTATTTGGAACAGATTACCCATGAAACTAAGACAAATAAAAACACTTGATAGCTTCAAAAGACATCTTAAACATTTTCTGTTCCTACAGGCCTATCCTTCATAAGCTTTTAACGTTATTTTTCATTATAGTTGTTCTGTTCTGGGTGAAAATAGTCTCTGTGTGTGTGTGTGTGTGTGTGTGTGTGTGTGCATTAATGTATATATTGCATGATAAGAAAGGAAGTAGTAAGAAAGGTTTTTGAAAAATGGGTATTCCAAAGTAATATATACGTGTGTGTGTGTCATATTAATTTTATTTCATATTTGTTGAAACATGTAGAATGAGAACGATGTTGCAAGTGAAGAACAAAAGTTATCCCACTAGTGTGGCACGGTCTTTTTTTGGTGGTAAAATGCAAACGTAATATTTTCATGTTTACGAATTGATACTCTGTCACTGGTGAGATCTTGTTTTGTTAAAAGAGCCAATAAACTCTCACAAAAAAGCTGCAACAACAAAAATGCACTACATTTAAGTAAGGTTCGTTGTAGGCCAGTCTAGTGAGTACAGTGCGATAATGCTCCGTCACGCGCACCAACGCACTAGTCTATCGCCGCTTTTCGCATTGACCCTCCGGGAACGGGGTAGGCCTCCAATGCCGAGGCCAGTCATGCGAGCTGGATGGGCTTGGACCAAGGAGTTTGGAACTAATCTACTTTTACTTTTAATCTCCTTGGCTTGGACTGAGGAAGCCTAGGCTATGTCCCATGCATTCATTGCGGGTTGGTCTGCAGTACATTTTTTACCTGCAGATGGATCAAAATCTGGCGAACCGTTTGTTCCAATTTCCTCCTTTCTATCATTCACTCATTCCTTCTGTCTATCTTCGGATTGTTGCCGCGGCTGGAAAATCTGCGCATTGATCAAGTAAATTGACTTATGATCTTAGACAGAAGAAAATTATTGTCAGAAAGAAACTTTTCACTGCAAATTTGTCTAGATCTAGCAGAGGCGAAGCGTCTATATAATCAAATAATCACTGCTTCCCTTCCTAATTTTGAAACATTGTCGCAGTCAAATTCACCCAAAGACGTAAACCTCATAAATTAAATGTAAAAAGACGTTCATAATCACCAATGAAGAATAGACTATGCCTAACCTTCAAAAGCGTTTCATTGCCACAGAAATAGCCTGTTCGCCCCTATCGGGCCACTCCATAAGCAGTCACAAGCTTTGATTAAGTAAGCTTAAAGTGAGGCTGGAAGAGTCAACCAAAAGAGTTAAAGGGAACATGTGCATAGCAGTCAGAACTGTTTTATTGTCGCATATACCCTGTTCACCCCTTTCGGGCCTCAGTTATAAGCACCCAGACGCGCTGATTAGGTAAGCGAACTATTACACTGGTCGAGTCTACCTCACAGATGTGAGTGGAACTAACTCCTAATAATCCTTTGACTCCTGCTACTACACTGCTAGTGCTTTTTTTTTTTCCTCGACTTTTTAACGTCCTATAATCAGATCGTGGCCTCGATTATGACACCGGCTCCTGGCCGTGAAAAGCTAGACAAAAAACAGCCAAATGTGAAATAAAAAATTAATAATTGGCATGCTCTACCAAAGTGTTTCGGCTGTCTGGTATAACATGCCATTGTAGTGCTGACATCTCTGCTTCTTTCCTTGGTGTTCGTGTGTTCAAATCTGAAGTTAAATTTAAGGTTAGTTAGAATAAATATTTAATGAAATACTTTCCCGATTATTTTAGCGGTTGAACAAGCATACAACATGAATTCAGGATTTGTTTTCATTCACAACTCAGAGTTGCCGCCTTCAGTGCCAGTAAGATTCTTGTGACTTGTGTGAGTGTGATATCTCCAGGCCCTATCTGGTTCCATTTCACTTTGATTACCCTGTCAAACAGGTCAGCCTTCGCCCCTGAGATCTAGAGAAATTATCAATGCGAAGATTCTACGGCACGTGAACGCAATTAGGGCCGCGATGAAAGAAATATAATGTATGCTCATACGGGGGTGCCCACAACAGATATGGTCGGCCGGCCGGACTCGGTCGCCTAAAAAACAAACGCGTTTCAGTTTCAGGCGATAGAGTCGGGCGATGGGCCGGATCTACCTGGACCCTGCTGGGGACCTCTGCGGCCCCCAGGCCCCCTGCAGAATTTTCCTTACTTTTCACCTTCGGCTGGTGGAAGCACTGAGAATTGTAAATGGGCTGATTTATCAATATCATGCTCATACCGTGCCGAAACGACATAGGGGGAACTGCTGCTTTTTCTTTCCTTATCCTTACTACTATTGTCATTTTTTCTCTACTTTTGTATGTTTGTCACTCTATTTTAATTGAAAAAACCGTATTAGGTAAACTAACTGCTGTATCTTGTGAATGTTTCAGATGAAAGTGATCACCCCTGAGATTTCTTGGCATGAGCGGGAACCTGTTTACAGTATTGATTTTCAGCCTGGTGATAGGGCCATTAGAAGAATTGCAAGTGGTGGAGTAGACAAGATCGTACGGGTATGAGTTGAACTTTATATTTGATGTTTTATCAACTGCTAATGTAGCATTGTTTCTATAATGGTTATTGCATTCTTTACTGGATGGTTTAAGAAAATGATAGAAAATGGGAAGTTGCTTGGGAATACAGTAGTCCTGCTTACAAATCCAGTTCGCTTAAGATCCCGCTGTTTTAAGAAAGCAAAACGTTGACTATAAAACTCATCCCTGTTGTTGATATTGATCCAGAAAAGTCATCCTTAAGACCCTGCTCTGTTTGATTACATTTCAAATCATAATTTATGGAACAAAAACCAGGGAGGGTGCAGCTGATTGACCAAGTGGTGAAAATTGTCACTCATTGTAATGCCCGTTGCATCACAGATCAGCCATTCTCATGAATATGATCCCAGCTCCATTGTAAATCTCGATGAAACGGTACAATGTTTGCCCCTGACGGGATCCCACCAAGGTGTGAACTCGTCGACACGTTCATTTCCCCCCAACATCGCACTTGCATATCTGAATATATATATATATATATCACAAGCATGATGGATAGAAGGGCTTACATGTCTGCGCCAGGCGGGATCACATCAAAATGTGAATTCGTCAGTGCTTCTGTTTCCCTTACCATTGCAGCAGTTGTCTCTATACATGAATTTGCTAGATCGACTGAATTTTAATCGATGCAGTCACAACTCAATGTTGCGTTACGACAGAGGTGGGGAACTTTGTCAGAGATATAAAGCTGTAAAAACAATAGTATTAATAGGGTTGACATAGATCCATCTTGAGACTCACGATTGGATCAGTGAAAATGGCATGCCTCATGACCCGCTGAACATTAGTCACAGTAGATTTTCCTCTTGGTCAATCGACTAACTTAAGATCCTGTTCGCCTAAGATCCGTCATTTGCCGTGCACCAGGATATTTGGCAGAGACTACTGTACCAAGAACTGAGTAGTGTTGAGAAGTGAACTTAAAAACTTTAAAAAGCACCCTGCTGGTGACTATGCTCAGACCAGTAATGTTCCTGCAACTTATTGAACTAAGTGTTACTCACTTTGTCAAGGTGGCACCAGGAAAATTTTGCTGCTGAAAGTTCAGAGAATAAAGCGAAGGAAAGCACTTTTATAATGTTATTACCTGAATATTGGTCATAGGAATTTTTGCCACCTTATTCTTTAACTCTCTTTGAAGCTGGCACATCTTTTGACTAGACGTTAGATTTGCGGCTGGTAGACACGGGGGATAATGCTTTGTAATATTAAAGAACAGTTTCTTTCATATTCCAGTGCAGGTTTTCATTGGAAGTTAGAAAAGGAAATTGAATCATGTGTGCTCTGAAAGTAGTGCATTTGAAAGCAGTTACCTATGTGTTTTTGTGTTGTTTTTAAAAGCAAAAATGCTTTAAGGATATGATGTTATCAAAGAAAAATGTAATGCAGCCAGCCATGGCGTGTGATTCATCAGATTGGTGAGTAAAGGTCGATTATAAAATTATTCTTGATAAGCAAAACAGTGAAAGCAATCAAATGCTAATATGTGATTATTTTCATCAAAACTTGTTGAGACAAAAAAGGAATAGGCCAATGACTTGTCAGAGCTAATGTACCATTGATGTTTCAGATTTGGCAGTTCAGACTTGACGAGGAGGGGAAAGGCTGTGTGGAGTTCTTGGCCAACTTGAGACGGCACACAGCCACTATTAATGTAGTTCGGTTCTCAAAAAATGGTAGGTTGTCTTTATTGACTTTATAATCATTATAAAGGCCTTGAACATCTCACTCTCACTGAAAAAAATTGAAGGCTAACAAAGCAGTGTTGAAGAGCCTAAAAAAATGGTGACTGAGAAAGATCAAGATAGCATAGGTCTTTAGAGAGTATCCAATGAAGCGAAGAAATGAATGGTGAACCATGATTGCCATTGTGTTTCAGCTCTGGGACGTGTCGATGATGATGATGTTTGTGTATATGGGGTATTAAACCCTCCGGCCTGCAGTGTAAAAGTTTCACGCTGGCTGATTTCCACTTACTTTTGAAATGCTATAATTTGAACTGCATACATCTACTTCCTCTTCTCATCCTTTCCCCCATGTTTATACAAGTGTGAAGGTACAAAAATATATTATTGAATCATGCAGTCTTTGTACAGGATTACATTTGTTGACTACTTATATTTTGTAGTGGAATATGGTTTACAAAATCAGGAAATTTGGTGGAAAAACAGTTTGATTACATATGATGGTTATCCATTAGCCAACTCTTTGCATCATCTTTTCTATGGCCACAAATAAGGATATTTACCTTGAAGTTTAATGTAAGTTGCAGCATGAGTTTTCTCCCCCAAAGCTCCAAGACCGGTAATTAAAATTGTTATGAAATCTAACTTTCAGTGGTTGCGTTCATTAGTGTTGTCTGCTTCATCTCCTTCCTTTCAGTTTATCTTTTATTTTAATTTAGTCCTAGAGGAATGTGGCCTTGAATTTCAGTTTAATAACATCAAATAAAGCTGCTGTAACAAGATATGCAACAGAATTTTCCTCTTGAAGCAAAGGAATTCTTTAACATCTTTATTCTTTGTTCTTGTGTTTTTGTGTTCAGTTTGATGTCATTGATCATTTGAAGTAGTCTCAATAGAAGGTTTTTGCTCTATTATTGCTGATTCGGGCAAAACTGAGTTCTATATTATTAGCTGTTTTCTCTTCTCCAGGTGAACTCCTGGCCACTGCTGGGGATGGTAAGAACAAATTTCATTTTGAATTGTGCAGTCCTTTTGGGTGTTATTTTGTTTGATATTGCCTTATCTGCCTTGGTGGCTGTCTGGGGCACTTTGAATTATACTGTGCATTGAATTCTTCTTCTTCTTTTCTTCTATACCGTTGTTGGGGCAACCGTTGGGGCACCACTGCATTTGAAAACCAGCTCTCGCCATCTATTTTTGTCCTCTGCTCTCCTCAGATTGTCACCCATCATCTTTCCAGTCCACTCTGTAATGTTGTCCTCCATCTTCTTCTCTGCCCTCTTCTCTTTCTCTTTCCTTGTACGGTTCCTTGCAGGATTAATTGAATTAGCCTGGATTGTACTGACTAATTTTGTAAGTCATGGCCTCTGATGGCCTTTCTTTGCATAGCAGTCTGTCAAAATGATTTTTTGAGAAATACTGAAAGTTTCAAAGAGATCTTCATACTATAAGTATTCTAAAATGTGAAGAATACAACCCCAGGGGTACAAAATGACCCCAGGGCATACGGATAGGGTTAAAAAGATTGCATTAAAACATTTTAAAACATACATATATAGAGCTTTACCATGGAATCTCATAATGGTTTGGCCTCAGAGATAGGTGTTTCAATTTCTAGTAAGGATTTTGATCGCCATTGTACATTGGAGATGATCTTGATTTAAGTGAAGTAAACAGTTTTATAGTACTTGTATTAAGTTTGGACATGGTACTTAACAAACAAACATGTTTGGAACCTGACATGTTACTTTTATGTGATACAATGTCTATACTATATAATAAGAGATATATGAATTCTTTGTATATGTATAGTCGAACCTGGTCTAATGGCGACCTGTGTAAGTCAAGTGCCTGTGCAAAGTTCCACTTCCCATTTCCTCCCCTGTTTATTTTTTACTTTATAACGTCACTGTGTAAGACAGCTACCTTCCTCCTTGACAATGGGTGGCCATTTTAGTTTTGACTTGTATGAATGCTTGAACATTATATAAACAAAAAAACATGCTTGAGATCTACCATTTCACTTTAAAATATGCAACAATAGCTATACTGTAGTATTAGCTTTGGGACTTGATTCTCATTTCTTTGAATAATTTCAAATCTGACGTACAGACACAGCCATTATATTGTGGAAGCTCAGCGATGTTCCACCTCCTGCTAATAACATATTTGCTGATGAGGATGGGGATGAGGACAAGGAATCCTGGGTGTGTCACAAAAGTCTGAGGTGAGTTCCAAGTTAGCTGACTGAGTGTATGGTTTTAGTAAGTAGAGTTACAAGCACAAAAGAGGAGGAGAGGTAAGGTTGGGAGATGCCCATTAGGAAAAAAGGAGCAGACCACACCAGAGCACCTCCCAACCATTCCTGTATGAGTGTATTACTATAATTTGTTCACTTTCATCTGTCTACGTAAAAAAAAAAATTCTTGCTATTTATTAATTGACCTATGCAGAGGAAACTTTCCATGGCACTTCTGTAGGCCAGCGACCAAACAAATATATATATATTTTTAAAAAATATTTATGCTGTGGTAAAAGTTTCTTCGTTTGGGCCCTATAATAACCCGCTCATTGGATGCCTACACGGAACCACTAAAATAAATTACTTTCAGTAACTTAGCCTAAAAAATTGATCATTTTGAGACAGAGACGACATCCTGCCTCCACATTTCGGTGTAAGCTTGTAAATTTCATCCCCCCGGCTGTCTAGACGTCTCTAAGTGCGCCTTGAAAAGTCCTCACCGTGTCTCTTGAAAAATGTTTCTTTGACATGTTAAAGTGTGATGTTGGGGGAAATTGTCGACTTTAAAAAAATCGTAACAATGTTTTAGATGTATATTGTAAATCCCTCATAATTTTTTTTTACACGCTTTAGGCCAACACCAACGAAAATGTGTTGGAACCTTAGTTTGTAGTGACCTCTATAAATTAGCTTTTAGATTCTGTTGGTCATCCAACTTTTAGACCCATATGAAAAGATCTGAGAAGATTAAACCGAGTGATTTCGTTTTACCTTGTTTTGACCTCAGTCACATGAAAATGAACAAGCTATAGTCTGACATCTTTGGTAGTGAAAAGGCTGTAGCTGGGTTTTCATGGGGGGGGGGGGGTTTAAAGGAAAAAAGGTAATTTTTTATAGGTTGAAAATTTGGTTGAATAGATATTTTTAAAAGGTTATTCGAAGTTTATTAAGTCTTTCGAAAAAAAAAGGAAAGATATTTATTGATCAAAATTCTTATATGACTTTTGAAATGATTATAGTTGATGTTATTTACATGTTTGTTTAGATTAAAGCCTCATTTCTTTTTACTAACACTCTTCTAGTGTGGGAACTGAATAACTGAAAAGAATTTCAATGTTCCAGACCCAGCACTTGGGAGTGAGATAGCTGAGTAATTTCATTCAATCAATATTTGTCTGGTATGAAAGACTGCCTTCAGAAATTTATGGAATTTGGTTTTAAATAATGAAAAAAAATCTCTTTGTTGTAATGTACCTTGGGGTGGGTATGTTTTTTTGAAAATGTCATGGCATATTGCCAACGAAGAAGTACATACATGGTTTGGAATGTTTGCTGAGTTCATGTTCTTTAAAATCTTTCAAAAATGAGAATATCAGTGTTTATCATATGGTACAAATTTTTCAGAGGTCATCTTGGAGATGTTGCTGATTTGTGTTGGTCGAAGGATAACCGTTACCTTGTGTCTGGTTCGGTTGACAATAGCGCCATTGTCTGGGACATTGTAAAAGGTGGGAAATTATGTCTAGTCATATATGTTCGCCGTCCATGGTCACTTATGATTATTTTACTTTTAGTCTTTATATTTTCATTCTTGTGTATTTTTGTGTAGAGTTCTATGCAGCCTGTACAAGTTGTTTTTTGTTCAGAATTTGTGCAGTTTTTACTGGAAGATCACTTGCCTTCATGGATTTATGTTTTGTTGTTTGGTGTTTGACATTTTTTTTTCTATTTGTGAGACTTTGTAGTCTTAACACAGTATTTTTGCTTCTGTGGTCTGTTTGACCAAAAAATATATGGTTAGATATTTTACTAAAAAGTTGCTAAATTGCTCTGCCATTGTATGTTCTTTAATCAGTGTGGGTTTTCTACTCTATAGCTGACTACCTCTATTTATATAATGTTTTTCATCATCAGGTTTTTAAAAATTTAAGCCCACTTTATGTTTTGAAAGTTTCCGCATGAATTTGTGTCTGAATTTTAAAACAAAACAACCTAGCTTCAGAGGCAGATGTTTTTGCAGGGAAGTGAGATATTAGTTACATTTTGTTGTTGTTGCTATGTACACAAAGTATTAGCCTTTGTTGTGTTCCTGTTTATACTGAAGCTCTGACAGTGACCCTTATATGAAGCTATAGTAACCAATGAGCCAGGTTCTGGACAATAAAGATGTATCTTATCTTATAGTACTAGGTTTTATATTATTTGTGATCCGGAATGCTTTTCAACAATGCCAAGTGAAGCTGACCTGTTTTGGGCCAGGCATTGGGGAAACTGGTGAAGAGGTGTGAAAAAGTTGTTTCTTTATATATAAGAACAACATAGCACAAGCACAGAGCTTGCTGTTGAGCAGGAATTTGCACTATACTAATTATTATCATGCAGCGACATATGAGTTTAAGCTCTTCTCTTTTCACTTTTTCCATGTACTTACAAAAGTTTTATTTTGAATCTTTAAAAGCTCAGTGAGTGGTCGATGGGTTGCTATGGTATGCTTTGCTCCTTTTTTCCTATCAAATGTCTATTGTCCTTACCCGGTATATCTTTTTTTTGTTTTTGCGTTTGTTACTCTCTTGTAACACTTTTAATCTTCAGCACTCGTATGACCCTTTGGTGTTGCAAGTGCGGTAAAGCTGTTTCTAAAAAGAAGGCTTTAAAAAAATATAACCTTTCACTGCCTTTCACAGATCAGAAAGTGGCAATTTTCAATGAACACAAGAGCTATGTGCAAGGCGTGGCACTTGACCCCTTGGGAGATTTGGTGGCCACTCTCAGTTCAGACAGGTTTGTCTAGCTGTTTAGTATTGTGCGCATTTCTGTTCTAGATGAAATTAGGCAATCATTATCTGGTTGTGTAAATGTTCTTTTCTGTTTATAAATGAGTAAACTATCAATTTGGTACGTGCGTAATTGGCGGGTGCTCTAGTGTGGTTTTGTTCTTCTTTCCAATTGAATATCTTTGGCCTTATCCATTATTTTTAAAACTCTCTTATAATGCCACTAATCTTCGGCACTTATATTACCTAATTCTGTCACAAATGTCGTAGAACTTTTACTAACACTTAAAACAAACAATTTGGTATTGTCCCTTGTAAAGGTAACTTTATATGGTCATCATGAATCTATAAAGCTGTGTTCTATTTCTTGGACTTTTTTATTTTGTAGTCTCAGTGGAGAAGTCATAACATTGAATGGCTTTAGGTGCCCACATTTTATTTTTTTTAAAAAAATACTTTGGGAAACTTCAGATGAAATGGATGAACAAGTAGGGAGATGTCATTTGACAGTTTGAAAAGTGTATTCCTGGTTATGGCTCTTGTCCTCTCATCAAATGAAGGGTTGAAAAGAAAAAGTACAAATTCTGATTGAGAGATTGTTCATTTGAGAGAGAAAAGTTCTTAAAAATGCAGTTGGCCAATGGATGGCACAGGAAGTTAAATTCTGTTTAGTTTTGCTTCAACTAAAATATAACCCCCCCCCCCCCACCCCCCCACCCCACCCCACCCCACCCCACACACACACACAATTTCTCTTTCAGGTCACTTCGAGTGTTCAACCTGAATTCCAAGAACTGTGTCAACAATGTCAGTAAGATGGCTCCCCTTCCTTCCTCTCAGGCTAATGCAAAGAGTGGTGACTCTCAGAACACTGCCCCTGACCCAAAACCCAAACCTTTCAGGATTTTTCACGATGATAGTTTACGGTCATTTTTCCGACGTCTCGAGTTCTCTCCTGATGGTCAGCTGTTGATGACTCCTGCTGGCTGCGTAGAACTTGGTGATGGAAAACTGGCCAGCACCTCATTTGTATTCAGCAGAGGAGCCTTTGCCAAGTAAGTTAAGGACCTGACAGTGTCTGTTGCTGGAATATTGCGAATTATGTTTTAGAAATAAAGTTTTGTTTAACCCCCGGGGCGGTGCTACTGACTGAAGTGTCTTTAGGCCATTCCCAAAGGGGGGACATGAGCATGTTCTTATACACAGTAGAATTGTAAATAGGCTGATTCATCAATGTCATGCTTATAACTGTGCCTGAACTGCAACGGGGTACTGCTGCTTTTTCTTTCCTAATCCTTACTATCGTCATTTTTCCTCTACTTTTCTCTATGTTTGTCACACTCTTGTAACCCGCTATTTCCGGGGTGCCTAGAGTTGGGGCAAGTGGACGGATGGGTTCGTTACCCACGGGCTCAGTCTGAGCGAGCGGGTAACGGACGGCCATGAGAGCGAACTGCGAACCTCAAGACAGTTCGTTTTTTGGGTCCGCTCCACAATTTTACTCTCTCAGCGAGCGGACTGCGGGCCTCAAGCCTTAAAGCTTAAAGAATTCCCTCCTAGGTCCGCTCCTCAATTTTATTCACTGAGTGGGCGGGCGAACGGACGAACTCTAGCAGATGAGATACTTGACGCAAGATTAGACCCATCGTCTATTGTTTGTTAATTGGGCCTAATGTTTCAAGCCACTAGCGGTGCCGCAGCTAGTGAGAGAGGCTGGTGACGTAGTACTCTGTGTGTAACCTTTCACCTTGTATATGTGGGCACACTGTTTACGTTCCAATTATCGGGAAATCGAAGCTTAAAGAATTCCCAAAGGCCTTTTTGGGGGGAAGGGGTAGAGAAATTTCCACCATAAACGCTTAGTTACAATGTGGGGCAGGAGGGTGATTTTTTTTCAGGGGGAGGGGGGGGTGTAAGTAGTCATGCAATAGAAGGGCTCGCTCCCCGTCCGCCCGCCCGCTCAAATGCATGGAGTCTCTCCGTCCGCCCGTAAGCTCGCTTGCTAAACGAACTGTTGTCTCTGTCCGATGTGTAGCGAGTAGCGGACTACTCTTAACAAGCGGACGGTTCGTTACCCGTCCTCTCGTTTGCGGGTAGTGCCAGTGAGTAGTTCGTTACTCGCGGACGCTGATTTAGCGAGCCCGACCCAACTCTACTTGATAGTCGAAGCAGACTTTATGCTGTTGAAGCTAGAGATGTGAGCAGAGTAAGCCTGAGTCCCTGTATGGACTTGTCTGTTGACATCCACCCCTTGGCGCTCATATGACCTTATGCAGTTGGGAGTGCCGTAAAAACTCTACTAAAACTAAAACTTAAGTTTTGTTCACAAGTGAGAAGAATGGTTCAGGAAAGTTATTGAATGAACAATAAAAAACAGTAGTTTTGTCTAGATATTTCCACATTTATGAAGATAATTTGTAAATACTTTAGTGTGTTAGAGTCTGGGTATTTTTTTACCATAATAATGAATGGGTGTTGAGTAAGTATGGTTACTTGAATTGTGATTGATACACCCCTTAGTACTTAGTTTCCTTAAGACGTATGGTATGTCACAAAGCTACCCAGGTTTTAACTATTGCCGTTTTGGTTGCTTGTAAGACTTAACATGTACATCCCACTAATCATCTGGCTCTATTTCTTGTGTATGGAGATTTAACTACAAGCACGGCTTGAATTTGTATTTGGGAATTAAAAATAAGCATATATTGGTACCAAATTTACTTTTGTTACTTTACTGCTAGGCTTAGTAGCAATAAACACAGGTCTTGTCTCGCAGATGAAATCGTGCTTCTGTGAAATGTAAAAACGAAAATTACTGAAAAATGACAGCGAATTTCACTTTTGGACTTTGATTTGCAAGTTGTTTAACATTATATGGAATATGGAGATGGAGAAGGTGAAAAATATGATACTATTAAAGACTCAGGGCCCGAATATGTCATGAGTGGGCCATATTCAGACTGAGAGTTCGACACTGTGGTAGATGGGACTGTTGACAGTCAGATCGCACTCCCCCAGGCAACGAAATGGGATTAAGCCAAGCACAGATTGTATTTCTGCTATTGCTATTGACTAAATTTTCAAAGTTCTCAATTAAATCGAGCATTAAATTTGAAGGCCATTCAAAGAGTTGATGCAATCTTTTGGTTTGATTCTGATCCTCTTAGACCGGCCATGTACCTTCCCAGCGGAGACAAAGCCACAACAGTTGTCAGAGTGAATCCACAGCTGTTTCACCTCAGACCTGCACAAAGTGACTGCCCAGCGGGTGACACTGAAGGTAAGATACTTTCTTTTTGTCAAATAGGTGTTTTAGATAGGTTCTACGATGTGGAGGCTTCATTCTAAATATGCAGCTTAACTTGTTTTAAAAAGTTGATGAACTGATAGGGAAGAGTGAAAAGGTGTATTAAGGCAAGGATTTGTTGTGTAAACAGACAAAACTATCTGTTTTTGCCTAAAACTGCTCCCTTTTAAATTAAATGATCTTTTACAGCTGGTTTTGAATTAAATATAAAAGATCAATGATGGGATCAATGAAGATCAGCTTGTTTTGTGCTATGCAAGTGGTGAAAATAGATTAAGATATCTTCTGAGATAGGTAATTTCCTATTGATATTTCATTAAAATTGGCGTTATGTCTGTGTCCTCTGAGACCACATGCATGCATATGTATCACGAGGCAGTAGAATCAGGGGCTCGTTAATTTTGGGTATATGGAGTTTTTGGTATCGTCTTTTAAAGCTAGTTCATTTGTCTTGCTTTGATGAAAAAATATGCATCCATCTTGAATGCACATGGAGATATTTGCAATTGAAAGAGGTCGGGTCGTCTGGTGTCAGAGATAAAATTGGTGAAAAACTGACCACCAAAGTTTGGTGACTTCCAAAGCTTAAGTGTCCTTGAAAACTGCAAATTTTCATTTTTGTGCCTTTGATCAATGTTTTAAAGTAAAGTCCACACAGAAATGTGTTTTTAAAAGGACATTAAAGGTGTTGAACAAAAAAACCAACAACCCAACAATATGATAAAAATTGCCCTATGGGTGGAAAAATGTGGGTTTCTTTGATTTCATTATTTTGAGAAGTGCTTAGCAGCTTGATTTCACAAGAATGCAACACATATTAATACCAGCATTATTGTTTGTTTCACGCCAAGGCTCGGATTCAAAGCAAGAGAAGGAGTGGGACAAAAACAAGTCCTTGTTTTGGTAAGTTGTTAAGATGACTAAATTTCTGTATGTCCCAGGTGAACATTTTCATGAATAGTGTATGCCTGGAGGCTCTGAAATTTTTTTGTCTCGTAAGTAATAGCCTTTTATGTTTGGAAGTCTTGGCACATATTTGTCTGCTGCTGATTTGATATTTTATTTTTCTGTTCTATTGCTCCTTGCACTTTATTTTCCAGTGTAAATAGTTTTATTTTTTATCTCATCTCTAATTGCGGTTAAATTTTTTAGTTTGTCATTTCATCACCTCTACTTAACCGAGTTTGATTTGCTAATATATTTTTCATAAACAAATGAAAATGTTGTGAAGTAGTTCAATGAAAACAGTCTTGATCTCTTTAGACCTGATTGGGAGTAACTTGGACATTGTTGCCAATTTTACTGCCAATAAATTCTCTTTTTTTTTATTGCTGTACTTTTTAGAAGTTTGGAAGTGTTTTTATGGTGATCCAAAGTACACTGTGCATGATGTTTTGCAAAAATTAGATGAATGGGGAAAAGCAGTAAATAGTTGATTTACTAATATGGTCTTTCTTTGATTTGTCACAGCCTACCCTATCGCGTTGTTTTTGCTGTGGCTTCAGAGGATACTGTAATCATCTATGACACACAACAAACAATGCCTGTTGGTTTGCTGAAGAACATCCACTATCATCAGATCAGCGACTTGTCCTGGTGAGTTTTCTGAGGATTTGCACAGTGTATGTCTGTGGTCTGGTAACTCACAATTTAGGACTTATTGAGATGATTGTCTGAAAGAGCACTAGATTCAGTGGTCTTTGCTTGTCTTTGTTCTGTCTTCCTTGTTTGCCTTTGATTCTGCTGCTGTTTGTGAATGCAATCTGTTTTATCTCCCTCTTGAGGTCGTGATTTGACTGGACAGGACAGTTGGCTGCCGGGAAATCCCTAGGAAGTTAGCAAACATCATCTGTGTGGGTGGTTGGCAGATGCTCTGGTGTGGTTTGCTTCTTCTTTCCTATGAAGCATCTATCGTCCTTTTCTCCCCTTCTTCTTTTTTATGTTTGTTACTCTCTTGTAACACCTCTAATCTTCTGGCGCTCATATGACCTTAAGCAGTTGCGAGCACCGTAAAACAAAACGAAACATCATCTGTGACCCAGGAAGAATGTTTTTTGGTTCCCTTTTCCCTAAAATTCGAATTTCTTTGAGTGATGAAGTTTTTGCACCCACTTCTGATCCATTGCACTTTTATTACTCGATTTCGATTACTATTGTGTAAGTTGGAAATGTACTCTTATGGTCAACCCAAACTGATGTTGATGTATGAAATACCTAGTAGTTTGAAGCCTTCGCATACAGCAGGTTGATGGTCAGAAAATAGTCTTGAGTCCCTAACAAAGGATCAAAAGATTCTTGCGAGGGCTATTTAAAATGAACGTCTCAATGTGTATCTCTCCGTCCCATTTTTTTGTTCCCCGTTTGTGCAGAACCAGTACCAGGAGGACCTTTTACACACTCGTAACCTTCAGCTGAAATAGGTACAAACCACACCATAACTTCCGCCAACCACCCACTTGGCAGCACGAAAAGCAAACATTTTTTCAAGTCTTTGACGACTTTGACAGTTAAGGAAATTCTGAGTATGATATTTCAGACAACAGGGATCCTGATTTCAATGTAAATGATGAGCGTCTAAGCACTGATTCTGATGGAGAATGTTCTAGATCTAGGCTAGGCCTTCAAATGCAAAATTCTGCTTTTTCTGGAGCCCTGTTTTTACATCTTTCACACTGAAGTGGATTACTATTATTACGCAGCTAATGCATATATTACCATATCGCTTACCAGCCTATTCATGAGTTTCAACTTTTTATTCCTTTTGAAACATATATATATACAAACACAAAACACAACAAAAGACACACACAAGGTTGATTTTTGGGGGGGGAGGAGCGGGTTGCTTGTGTTTTTTTTTTTACACAAGACATTACTTTTAAAAAATTTGACGAACAGCAAATTTTAGCACACTTTCAAAAAATAATTTCTAAAAAACTATACTCTGTAACAGATATTGTCTTTCTGTTTTTTGTGTTCTATTGGGAATGTTTAGAGATCTGTTATTGTTATGTGTGTAAAAATGGTGGTTGTATGTCTTTGGGAAGGGTGTTGTTATAAATATTGAAATACTCCCAAAAAATGCCAGTCTCCAGTGAGTTAAATGAAAAGTTGAATGAACGACTTGATGTCTTTTCTTTCAGGTCGGGTGATGGGAAAGTTCTTGTGATTTCCTCAACCGATGGCTTCTGCACGATAGCTACGTTTGAGGATGGGGAGCTGGGAGAGGTGTACACAAAGGCCAACACTGACGAAGGAGTGTCAGTCCCGTCTACTGTTCCCAAGGTGAGTTTGTGAGACCCGTACTGATATTATTACTCTTTACCATTTTCATGTCTGACGTTACACACACCCCCCCCCCCCCGGCAGTACTACTGACTGAAGTGTCTTTAGGCCATTCCCAAAGGGGGGATATTAATTATGTTCTTTTGCACAGTAGAATTGTGAATGAGCTGATTTATCAATGTCATGCTCATTAGAGTTGGGTCGCGAGAACGGAACTGAATCACCACTCTTCCCTGCGATTCGCTATTCACTTCAGCGGGATGCGGAACAGTATCGCCTTCCAATTCCCGATTCACTCCCCTGTCGCTGTCACCACCTTGTGGCTTGTTTGTATCCTACTGCTGGGTCGCGAGTCGAGTCGCGAGCTCAAGAACGGAATGGAACACTTAGTATGGCTCCCCTTATTTTACAAAAGATGGCATAGTCTAACCCCCCTATTCAAACGAAATGAACAGGTTCCAACCAATAGACAGAAGGAATTTTATGGAGCCATTGTTTTAGTTTACAGAGATGCCAACCAGTACAATTTTACGTATTTTAGTACGATTTTTTGCCGAAAATACGCGAATGTGACTTTTCATGAAAAAATACGCATCCTGGAATGTGAAAAATACGAGATTCAGCTTGGGCGAGTAAACCTAATTATCTCAAGTCCCTCTTTTGTCAAAATAGTTTCAGTATCGCAGAACTGGAATATTTGAAAGCCAAGTCCGATGTGGTCAGTAAGTTCATTTTTGCTGGTCGCGATCGTGATATTATATTCGTTCAGCTTTTCTCCGTCCGGAGAGTACGTTTCACTTTCAGCCATGGTGGCAGGCGGAAGCGCATGTGACACCGAGGCTCGATCAGGAAAAATCAAGAGCTACTTTGCCAGCAGTTGTCTGATAGGCTAACGCAACGTTTGTGGCATGCAGGTTGTGCAGTATAAACGCAATGTCGCCGTGCAAATAAAATGTATTAAATACTCGGACTCGTCGCTGTGCTGTCGCTTGTGGGGGAAAAAAAAAGAAAAGAGAATACAAGCGTCGTCCGATTTTTAGATTGTCTGGCTCGCCATCGTCACCGTTCACTGAACCTGCGCGCATTCGTTTAAGATACTAGACGGGGGGGGGGGGGGTTAAGGCAACACCAGAGGACAAAAACTTGGAAGCACCTTTCAGAATTTTGATTAGAGCTTTCTGCAAAGCGTGTGTTGGTGCAGGCCGTGTGCGGAATCGGGACTCCTCACACTTTGCAAGTCTGTGTTATTGAAATAAAGTGTTCGCGTTTCATTGGACGGGTGATAGTAAATTATACCTACGGTGTATGTTGTAGCTTTCTGTTCAAGGCTGGCAGATTTTCAGTGTCACTGCATCTTGCCCTACCACAGTTGTTACAACTCTCACAGTGCACGGGTCTACTTGAGCCATTCAAGTTATTGCTTTTCTCTGAGTTTGAGCAATAATTTGAGTCTGTCAGTTCATAATATGAATCATGACACCCAGACTGGTTCTTGATAGTCGAAAATCTTGTTCTAGGCCCTTCTGAACTCTCAAAGCAGGATTTATTTTTTATAATAATGAGAGGGGAATATTATATAATATACTGAAATACTTAAGTCAAACAAGACCCCAGTACGACACTGAACACGAACATGTTGTTGACTGGATACATGTATATTGTACGCGTCTTTGCTCCCTTTTTTGAGCTGGTGAGCTAGTAATTTTTTTTTAGGAAATATTGCTGGACACCCTGAACATTTTACTATTACTGGTTGGTCGGTATGTGGGTCGTGGGGAATACACATTTTACCCTGAAAATACACATTTTCATATTTCCCAATACTCATTTCGGTTTTCTGTGGTTGGCATCTCTGAGTTTAGCGAATCATGTGAGGGGGGGGGAGGGATGAATTTATGGGGGTCGTTAACTGAGGTCAGTATTGCAGCGCAACGAAGGACGGGGTCGGAGAGGATGGCGGGACAACAAGAGTGGGACTCGCGAAGTGGCGTTGATATGATACAGTTCCGTTTCACGCTTACTGCAAGCGCGAGACTTAATGTTCAACGAGCGCTCTCGTACTCGCGATTCATTGAAGCCGACTGAATTGTGAATCGCCATTCACAGATTTGGCAAGCAGGACCCATCTCTAATGCTCATACTGTGCCGGAGCAACATAGGGGGAACTGCTGCCTTTTCTTTCCTCCTTACTATCGTCATTTTCCTCTACTTTTTTGTATGTTTGTCACTCTCTTGTGAACTGCCATTTCCAGGATGCCTTGATATACGAAACAGACTTTGTGCTTTTGAGGCTAGAGAGGTGAGCAGAGTAAGCCTGATTCCCCTTTGCGCTCATATGACCATATGCAGGTGCAAGCGCCGTTAAACTTTACTAAAACTAAACTGATGTACTCCCAAGTCTGTTCCTAGTGTTTTGAATTGAGGAGAGTTAAATTTATGCGAAAGTGATATAAGATAAGAGTTTACCTGCCCTTTGAATACTAAAAGGTTATTGAAGAGGAATGGCTTTTGAATTCAATGTCCACTTAGACTTAGAAAAGACGGGAGTCTTGAAATTGAAAGCTGACTAAATGTTTCAAGTTTTGAGGAGATTCAAAGTTTTGGGGTTTTTTTTATAGATGAATCGCTTTGACTTTAAAATTTAAAGATTTGCGAACTCAGATCCAACAAAATGGCTTGCGTGGAAAACAGCCCTTGTTGGTGTGGCTTTGCACATTTTTTCTCCCTCTACGAACTTTACTAATTTTAATTTTTAAGATTGACAGTTTTGTTTTTTATTATTTATAGATTCACCGCGGGCTACATTCATTGCTAATTAGGCTGAACTTGTGGCTCACATTCATTATTAATTATGAAGTCAATTCGCGGTCCAATATTTGAAACTGCTCACCAGCTACATATGGCCCACATGCTGTAGTTTTCCCGCGCTTGCTTTATTAAACGATGATTGCTTGCCTTAAATTTTTCTCTAGTGTGGAACTTTCTGAAATCTTTAACTCACTTGTCTGTCAATTTCTGTGAATGATGCTTCATTCTTGATGTGAAAGCTCTTTGATTTTGAAAACTTTTTATGTGACCATTATTATGATCTCTCTTTTCACAGGGAGTCTCATCAAAGAAAAAAGTGGTCACAGGTGAAGATAAGCCATCTGAAACCTCCTTGCCATTCTCTCGCTACACCTCTCCAAAAGAGAAGAAAACGGAGGAGAAAAGTATCCAGAAACAGTCCTCCGAGTCGTCAAGCTCCAATGGGAATTCTAAAAATGAGACCTCTGAAACAAGCTCTTCTCAAGTTGCTGACAGTAATAAGTCACAAACAAAAAGTGCAAATGGAGAGGTCAAAGGAGACACAGTCAAGCCAGATACCGCCAAAACTGAGGTGTCTGAGAAAGTGGAGTCGCTTACCATCAAAGACTCGAGTAACAAAATGTCCTCAGAGAGTAAACAAGGAGGCGGAAAAAACCCAGAGGCACCCAAAAAGAAGAGGGCTGTGTTGACTACCATCAGTCTAAAGAAATAAAATGTTTTAGAAATTGTGACTGAGTACTGTGACTATGTATATAACTGTAAATATCTCAGCTTGTTGTAGTAGGTGTGGAACGAGGGGTTGAGTCAAGAATTAGATGTAATGAACTTCCATGAAGATAATTGAAAGTTAAATGTGTAGCTGCAACATGCATTTAGTCGTGGAACAAGACTGAGGTGACTTTCCTTTATTTAGGGACAAATTCAAATTCTGTGATGGTGGTGATGACCTGAAGATCGTTTTCTAAAATTTGTCTTTTAACTTAAACTTTTTTTTTGGGGGGGGGGCTGTGCCCAAGCTATCTGCGTATGAAGGAAATGTAGCTCATTGGAGTTTCACTTTCTAACAAGTTCTACATTATTCTCATCTTTTGTGTATAGATGTAACAAATTCTTATAGTAAGAAAGTGGGTGGCGCTCCGATCCTTGGGAACTGAAAGTCAAGTGGAAGGCTGGCCCATAAGTGTGAATGGGCGGTGGCTGCCAGTGTTTAAACAACACAATCTAATGTGTGTTCAAAAATGCTTGTTTTTATTTACTTGTATTAATGCGGTGACTTCCAGGGACAATACATATATATATTGTCCCAGGAAGTCACCGCATTAATATTGTTGCTTTCCAGTGTATGTGATGTAACTGGTGCTGTTCATTCTCTTTCTTTGTGTCTGTATTTCAGTATCAGTGTATGTGATGTAACTGGTGCTGTTCATTCTCTTTCTTTGTGTCTGTATTTCAGTATCAGTGTATGTGATGTAACTGGTGCTGTTCATTCTCTTTCTTTGTGTCTGTATTTCAGTATCAGTGTATGTGATGTAACTGGTGCTGTTCATTCTCTTTCTTTGTGTCTGTATTTCAGTATCAGTGTATGTGATGTAACTGGTGCTGTTCATTCTCTTTCTTTGTGTCTGTATTTCAGTATCAGTGTATGTGATGTAACTGGTGCTGTTCATTCTCTTTCTTTGTGTCTGTATTTCAGTATCAGTGTATGTGATGTAACTGGTGCTGTTCATTCTCTTTCTTTGTGTCTGTATTTCAGTATCAGTGTATGTGATGTAACTGGTGCTGTTCATTCTCTTTCTTTGTGTCTGTATTTCAGTATCAGTGTAGGTGCTTGTCTCCACTTAATGTGGGTGGTTGGAGGGTGCCACTGACCAGTCCTACTTCTTTACTTTTCCTCTATTGTTTCTGTCTTACTTTTTCCCAGCGCTTAATGACTGGGGGCTCTCGTAGCCTAGAGGTTAAGGTGTTTGCCTCTCATTCAAAGGTCCCGGGTTCGAATCTGGGTAGCGACCGAAAAATTTTCTTCTCTAAAATTGTCTCCTTTCACGTCCTTTCCTGCTCTCTAGCAATGTTCTGTTGTCTGCTTTCATTTCCACTTTCTGCCCTCACCTCCTTTGTCCCCTCCTCTGGGCTCCTGACTCTTTCTGCAGCCTTTCTACTGCTACTCCTTTGCTCCTCCTTACTGCTGTCTTTCTGCCACACCTCTGATCTTTTGGTAGGAAAGATCTACACCTAGCCTTCTCGGACAAGGGCGAAAAATCTCGGAGGGCCCGTGTGCAAGTTGCGCACGTTAAAGATCCCTTGGTGGTCTAAAAGCGATAAGAGTAGGCTTCGGCCGCCACCCGGGCAAAATTCAAAATTTCCTACCAACGGAAAATATTAGGTGTGTCCCGCGCGCTCATATGACCTATGCAGTTGCGAGCGCCGTTAAACACTTTACAAAAACAAACAAAGCTTAATGACTATTGTGTCAATGTGTTACTCTTTACTCGAACAAACAAAACAAAGCTCCACTTGAGGATTCTGCCAGGTGCTCGCTTCACTTGCAGTAAGAGGCCACAGCCATTTGAATAGTGAGTGGTATAACACATGAGTGAAATCAACACCAGCCCCAAAGTTTATTGACTGCTGAAGGGATTTGTCAGGATGGAAATTTAACATTGCAAGAGATAAACATTTGCATGTGCTGTTTAAAGAAACTTGATTGAATGCTCGCTTCTCGTTCAGGCAGTTCAGTTGCTTGACCTACACAATCACAATGACACCAAATTCATCAAAGTCAAAGAAAAGGTCTGTTTGAAACCAGACAATGGTTCCTGGACAAATAAAAAGGGGCTATAAATAAATCTATTAATTGTCGGGAACATGGCAGCAAAGATGTCAATAGGCGAAAGGCGAACTGCGCGAGCTATCCATTATTTCGAATGTTCCTTTATTTGTTATATCTGTACTTGACTGTATATATATATGTGTCAATGTCAATATTATTGTAAATAAAGCTGTGTGAGGTTTTAGCTCAATGTATTGTCAACTTGGTGTTTGTTTGAGGCGTGCGTCTCTAAGAAAAAAGTGTCTGTCAATTCAGAGCACTGTAAAACAAGTGGAATGATTGTAATAGTTTTACGCCCCCATCGACACATTGTAGATCTTTCTGGCAGGTGAGCTGCTTCCAGCGTACCAGTCGGGGTCAACGTAAACCATGTGAGATACAGGATCTCAACAGATAAATGGTGAAACTTTATAGTTCTCTCTTGAATTGAACCCATGTCTTCTGCTTGCAACTGATATTGCCAAACCATTACAAAACAGACGTGGGTGGTTGGAGGGTGCTCTGGTGTGGTTTGCTCCTTCTTTCCTATCAAACATCTATTGTCCTGATCTCCCCTCCTTTTTTGTGTTTGTTACTCTCTTGCCTACAACACCAAGCACTCAGGCTATATAAAGGAAGAGGAAGGCCACGCAAAAGGTGGATCGAGGATGTCAAGGAAACCCTAAGAAAACATAACATTACAACTGAAAGAGCTGCGAAGCTGGCCTACCATAGAAAACTGCATCTCCCCTTGACGCTTAACGGCAACAGAGGATGAAAAAGTAAAAGTACTCTCTTGTAACTCCTCTAATCTTCTGCACTTATATGACCTTATTGTGTTGCAAGTGCCGTAAAACTCTTACTAAAACTAAAAAAACTAAAACAATACAGACACTGGCCAATAATTAACTGATGCACTGACGAGAACAAAGACAAGATAAACCTCAAGGCCAGCATTTTCACTTTTTCATTTTCTTGGTTTTTCAGACAGCTGGAATACCATGATAACCAATGTGTGTCCTTTGTGTAGGAACTTGTGTTTTTAGTCATGAAATGAACCCCACAGCAGAAACACTGAATACTGAAGAAACAATAAACTCAATGATCCGACTCAATGTTTTTATTAGTGATCATTTACATTCACATGTCGTGCACAACATTGCTCAGAATATAATAATTTGTTACATTGTAACTTTACCAGAAGTTACCATACAATTACAATGTGTCAATGGGAACATGTTTTAGTTTTAAGAATTAACAATAGTAGAAATGTTCTCTACTTTCTATGATCTATGACAACAACAACTGGAAATTGCTACAAAAAACTGGCACTGTTTTTTACCTCGTTATTTACATAAACAATCACATCAAGTTAGAGCAGGTTCGCCTGTATTAATTTTTGGGGTAAGTAAAGAGCTCCTAATTTCCATATTCCAGAAAAATACAGTGGAGTCCACTTACGAGTCCGGAAAAAAACGAGAAGTCTGTTATAAAGACACTATTCTAAAACCCCGTTTTTTTCTCTTCTTTACCTTTGTAAATAAAATGCTGCTATAGCGCTATCAGACAAACATGCCAGTCAGTTATAGCGGACTATTGCTCCTGCTGTGCACAGTGCACAGGCCAGTTATACATAATGTAAAACCTCGCTAGTTGTGAAACTTGTTCTTGGTGATCTAGCGAAACAAAGAATGGGAGAGCCCATGTGTGTCAACAATGAAGGCCGGAGCGACTAAGTGGCGAGGGTGTGGCATGCGCAGACAAGCAGAGCGCATAGCGTGATGGGCCAGTGTAAGCCTAGTTTAGATTATCAGGGCCTACCATGCCTCTCACTTCTCCGATGCGGGGATGGAGAGGTCACAGCAATGTGATGGTTGGAGCGACGTGCGCAAGCTGACGGAATGCACCACAGGGTGTGGTTGGATGGGGGGAAACATAGCGGGTGAGTTAGCCCGGAGCCCTTTCTTTCTGATCGCCAAAGCCAGGCTGTCAGTCAACATCGCTAGATCTAGCCCAAGAGAAAGAAACCTGATTCGATTTTTTATCAAGTACAGGGCTCCCCTTTTCAGACCAACTTAAGAAGTTACTTCACCCTTTGGTTTTCTGTCTTAAGGGGTATTTAAACCCTTGTTTTAGAAACTTAGAGGGTAAAAGTCAATTATCTCCTTATTTTATAGTAAGAATTTTTGCATGTAAACATTTAACTCACGCGCACGCACATTCACACAGACACACACAGAGTGACCATTACTATGATTGAATGCCAACAATTTTTTAATTAACTTAAGGTTTCTTTGTAACAGCAAGAAAATAAATGAGTAATATTGACTACCATTAGAGTTGTGTCCATTTGGAGGGGGGAAGGGTGGTGGTGGTTGAGCCAATGAAAAATAAAATAAAGTTGACAAACCAAAAGGGGTCAATTCCAACTGTAATGCACAAAGAAAATCAGACCTGCCAATCTATGAAATCTAAAAGTCAGGATCACCCCGGGGCGGTGCCACTGACTGAAATGTCTTTAGGTCATTCCCAAAGGGGGGACATTTCTCGTTCTAGTGCTCAGTAAATTGTAAATGGGCCGATTCAACAATGTCATGCTCATAACTGTGCCTGAACTACAACAGGGAACTGCTGCTTTTTCTTTCCTAATCCTTACTATCTTCATTTTCCTCTACTTCTTTTGTATGTTTGTCACACTCTTGTGACCCGCTATTTCCGGGGTGCCTTGATAGTCGAAGCAGACTTTGTGCTGTTGAAGCCAGAGAGGTGAGCAGAGTAAGTCTGATTCCCTGTAAGGACTTCTCTGTTGACATCCACCCCTTGGTGCTCATATGACCATATGTAGTTGTGAGCGCCGTAAAACCCCTACTAAAACTAAAAAAACTAAAAGTCAGAATGTCAGTGGGGGGAAAAAATCGGGATCAACGACAAATCACCCAGATCACTGCCAAACTAACAAATTTCCAGGGACATGTGTGTGTGTGTGGGGGGGGGGGGGGGGGGAGGTGAGTGTGTGTGTGCGTGCCTGTGTGTGTTTTACCTTTATTTTTTAAAATCCTGAAGTATCACGTCAAGCTCTCCTAGTTTTGGTATTTTACCTGCACCCCCCTCCCCCCGGATAAGTCCCGAAAGACGCTTCAGCCGGTGTGCCTGAACTTAAATTGACCCCGTCAACGGTCCCCGACACACGCGGAATTCACTTCGGTGGGAGTCATGTCACGTGGTGCGAAAGTGCGACTGAAAGAGTTTTACTGAAGGGTCTTGATGACGGGCCCGACTAACCAGAACTCGGATAAAGCTTGTTTTGAAAGTAATAGCAGAACTACGAATAATACATGTATTGATAATCTGTGCGTCGCAATTTAAACTAAACAGCTATCAGTCAGGCCATCATCGGAGAATTCTGAGTTGAAACAAAAATAAAAGCGAAAATGATTTAAGGCCTAGATTCTAGGTCTTGAGAATGCCCCAAGTCGGAATGCCAAAACAATATTACTTCCATTATACATGTGCTTGAAATAACACGGGCTTGCAAAGATCCAACACAACAACTAAATTCGACATAGACATTTCGGAAAATAGTGCTTCGAGTTTCTGCTGACAAAAAGGTTAACGAGTGCCTCCCACAGAGTAATATTTTACATAAAATCCGGCACAATAGACGGAACAAAAAAAAATCGGGATACACGGGATCAAAATCGGGAAAATCGAGATACTTGAAATTTGGGGCGAAAAACCTGGATATCCCGAATACATCGGGATTAGTGGCAGGTTTGGAAAATAAACTAATTCATTATTCTTCAGAGCCATCCCAGTCGTTCAATGGTGGACAATTTATGTTTACTAGATCTAGTGTGTTAAAAAGAAAGAAGGGTAATCTCACGGCAGGGGTAAACTCAAGGCACGACATCGGCAAATATAATGCGAGCGACCGGAATTTGGGCGGAGCTTCTGTGCTCAAGCAAGCCGGTGTCTTCGGGAACTGCGCGTAGCTCAGAAAAGTAGATTCTAGGTCAACTGCTTCTGACACAGAGTCACAGACAAAAGGTGACTGCGGTGTCATGTGTGTGGGTGTGTTGTTAAATCATTGACTCGGCTTCGGGGTAGAGAAGGGGGGAAGTGATGATTGCCAGACGCACACTACCTACGTTTTAAAGCGTATACAAACCCTCGAAACGAAATTTTAAAGAGTAAAGCTCACGCACCACCAAAACTTTAAGGGAGTAATTTGCAGGTTTAAGGGGTCATATACGCACAAATGTGCGTAAAGGGGAGCCCTGCAAGTAAGACCTAACGGTCACGTTGAAACAAAATCATCATCAGGGGAGATATCAAAAGGAAATAAACTGAACACCAAACTCATAGATTAGGCCTACTTTACAGTTTCCCTTGAATTTATTACTGGATCCCTTATAGCGAGAATCCTGCTATAACAGACATTTGCTCCGGTCCCCTCCCTCTCGTTGTAACAGGATTCCACTGTACAGAATATATTTAAGATAGCACTGTGAAGACTGAGATCAAAGGTCATGAAAACCGTTGCCGAGATCTATAAAACACCTCCGCATTATGCCGGTGCTCGGTGGTAAGAACAATAGTAAAACTATTGACTACATAACAGCTGCATGCTAAGTTTACAGTGAACCATTTGAAAACTCGCTTCTGGTCCCAATAATGATCAGGATCCACTGGGTGCGGCGCTGAGGCAGCCATCGTGATATAATCCAGGATCAAAGTACATGGGTCAGTTGATAGTGTTGAACGGGGAGCAAACTCACACCATTACAATACCCACACAATTACACTAATGACACACCGGAACACACACACACATGCATAAAAAGGCTAAATAATCGGTGCTCATCACAACATGTCATCCTCATCCTGTCCATACGATCCCTCGAGAGTGTCTTGAAAAACAACACCTGCTGGGGTCAACTTACTGCTCACCATCTCCTCAAGCTTTGCTGAAATCTCAGAGGAAAGATGATTCTTCCAGTCCCCAACTTTTCCTGGAACAGAAATCAAAAGAAAAAGTGACAGGAGACAGTTTTCTAAAAACACTCATTCGTCCTGTGAACCTGAGCGCACACTATCTTTACCCTTCGACCTGTCCCCGTCATTTTATGCAAGGAAAATTCTGAAATTATGCAAACTGAGCCCAAAAATGTGAAATTATGCAATTCTGTTAATTTCAACAAAGAATGATAAAGGAAAATAATCAGAAATTATGAAAAAAACGATCAAATTTTGCTAAATTATGCGGGGTGTATAAAACCATGGAGACAGTCAGCCTTCCACTCACTGTGGTGTAAACCTTGTTATAGTAATCATCTCAAAAGTAACTCAGTAGCGCAAATGTCAATTTAAAAAATATTCAACGTTCACATTTCAGTATACTATCAGGAACAGTCACTTCATTGAAACATTCCTGCAAACACCATCAAGTCATGTGTGAGGACATCTAAAGAAAATCAATGCCTACTTTAAAAAACAAATTATGAAAAAAAAAAGCCAACTGAGAAATGTACATTGCATAGTGTACTGTAAGAATAGATACTGCAACAGAAAAAAAGAAATTTTAACCCCCCCCCCAAAATAGAGCAAGTATACTTCTGAATTGCTGGCTGTTTCTCTAAAAAAAAAACAACAAACAATTTCACAGCCTTGTGTTGACAAAGAGAAGCTGTGGTCGCAGCTAAATGGTGTTACAAAGGAAAAAACTCAGTTGTTTGTGAACCTTGCAACTGACCGATCCCCTTCATTTGGTGCAATTCCCTACCAGCCTACAACATCAGGTTATTTCTTTGGGGAAACTCTCTAATTCTTGTCATGTTTCTGAGCTGAGTGAGAGCAATAGAGATAGGACTTACTCCTGAAAGGATCGGACAAATTTTATGTGGACAAGGACTTTTTCTCAATTTAATATTAAAAGTTAAGTCGAACACCCCCACAGCAAAACTGGTGGAGTGTGGCAATTAGTTTTTTTATGTACAAATTTTGTTTTGTGCATGTTTTAAATATATAAAGAACATAATGTATAAGAAAAAATTCGGCACCTGAAAATGTGTTCGCTGTGTGTGTGTTTCGCTGTGAGCGTGTTTGCTATGTGTGTGCTAGCTAGGCTCAATAAGTTTTCTTTGTACCGTACTTTGTACTAAAGATGGCAGCAGCAATCTTAAGTCCAAAAAAATTATGAATTTGGGGTGCTTCAAGAAGTCTTTTTTTTTTTCTAAATTCAGCTAAGATTAAATTACAGTTTTTTAGACCCACCAGCCGAAACAAAATCGCTTGAAAATTTCAAAGGCTTTTCCCCTTATGCAATAATAAACTCTTGTGTTCAGTACCTGTTCCTTTCAAAAGATGGCTCCACAGCTATTTTAGGACGTGTTTCTGCTATTAACATAAAGACATCTTTCATTTTCGCCAAGTTGCGGTGATTGTAAGTTCTGTTTGGTAGTCTAGCTTACCTTTTCTCATGAAATCTGCTTTATCTGATGCCATGCCCTGCTCTTTCAGCCAGTCATAGTTGACAGATTTGTTGTTCTTCATACTCTCAAAAGTGCAATGTTTGGCAACAGCATCTACCTCAGCATCGGTCAAACTCTTCCCCAAGAAGCTGGCAACCTGTCGCACAACCCCAGGCAGGTCCTGAACAAATAAGTATCACATTCTACTATTAGTTCTTTCACTTCCATGCGTCATATTAAGTTATAAAAATGACGGGTGTGAATGTGGAGTAGGCAGGACCCGTTTACTGAACTTTTTTTTTTTTTCAAATAAAGTGCACATGTTATGTTGTATACATGTAGTATACGTGATCAAAACCAAGACAAAAAGATCTCATACAAGAAAATAGAATCAGGGGTAAAAAAAACCAACTCTGAAAGGGTATCTGCTCTGAAAAAAAAAAAAGGATTTATTCATCAGGTGACATTACTGACATAATAATAATAATTCCATATTCAACGACAAATTGCCATACAAAGGCATGCTCTGCTCAAACGCACATTTTCTTCATGTGACGAGTTTATTACTACTGTATAATTTAGGCGTACAAACCCACGTCTACTTATTCTAAACACATGCTTCAATCCGCGAAACATGTTGATGGAAAAATCTTGACAAGGGAAATTTTCGCTGCAGCCTACACTGCTTGCACAAGACAAGCCTAGATGCCTAGACAACCGGATACCTGTATTCGGCAAGACTGATCCTCATGAAGAACAAAGAGAGCGACAGACAAGAGTTTTAATGCCCAACTTTCCACAGACACATAGGTCTAGGACTGGTCTGGTGATATGTAGGAATGAGGGGGGGGGGGGGGGGGGGGCGGCGACTGGAATGTCTTCTGATTGCTCACTCGAAATGCGTCTTTAGGAGAAGGTTTCTGACTGGTGTTTGAGTGACAGCATACCTAATGTTTAGTTAGACCTATGATGCGCACCACGCGTGAATGTTGTGAGATACTAGGACTCTTGTTAAAGATTAGTAAAGTAATCAATTGCACTTGAAGAACTTATAATGTACTTGTTCAACGAATCACAAGAGAAAAGTCTGACGTCATCTATTCATGTACTGAGTTGCAATAGATGACAGGCAGTTGGGACTGATCGCTTGGAATTTGAAAACCGCGTGGCTGAGAGCTTTTCCCTATGATTATGACCAGATCTATCCCAAACAGTTTCCTCTTATCAGTTCCTGACATTTGATAGTGCCTATCAGTACATTGTACAGTGAATCTGTTCTTCTGCGCTCCCCCCCCCCCCCCCCCCCCCCCAACCCATTCAACACCTTTGTATTCATAATTCATAACCGCAGTCGGGGAACCCTTCACAAAACAGTCACATGTCGTCACATAATCGGCCAAAATGACCCATCACCCCCAAGGGAGGTCACAAAAATATCAATAAAATTACATCATTGCGTCTTTTCCTCCCTTTGCACACTGCGTATAATAAACACACTTTAGGGGCCTTCCTGAGCATCGTGAGTTTAGGCGGAGACTACTGTATAAAGAAATTTTTTTAAAATACAGTAACATAAATCTTCATCATAGCTAAAAAGCTTCCTTCTTTTAAACAGAAGTTCAAAGGAAATGTTGGCACAGGGGAAAAGAGAGTGTGATGCTATCACACCCGATAATCATTTTAAAAATGTATTCTGAAATTCATGCAGTAATCCCAAGGCCCATACATTTGTATTACAAGCATTTTCCCCTATAGATTGATCCAGTAAGTGTGACACCCACACTCAATTATAAAATCACTCCGAAGTACATAGACCACAAATAAGAGGGTAGTAGGTAGTACCAGTATCAAAAGGCAATGAATAAATCATAGTGGGTGGTCACTGGGGTGTGTCCTTCAGCAAGACACAATAACCCTAGCTAAAAAAATAAATAGGAAGCTGCACAGTGGCGACTAGCAACAGGATGCTTGTAAAACTGTCTGCATTGTTGTAATAATAACATTGCATATTTAGTATTCTCTGTATTAGAATTTATTCATATTTGGCGTTTAGAGATATGCATTTATGTATGTTTGCTATTGTAACCTGAATTTCCCCAAAGGGATAAATAAAGTGTGATTTATGTATTACTGTTAATGTAATGAATCATTTCCTACTTTCCCACAACAAAAATAATAAGTTTCACTAAATTAAATCATACATAAAAGTTTTGGTAAAGGTCACCATAATTTCCCCCCCACCCCTCTTTCTTAAAATAAGTTAAAAGTCTTTTTCGGGTATGGCATCATGGCAACCAACATGTGGCCTTGCCCATAGAGAGTGGAAACCCTGGATGTACGCAGTTCGTCAAGTGAGCTCCGAATGGAGGGATTAAATAAACTTTTATCAAAGATTACTATCACTTGTCCACCCACTATGTGACTGCCAAGCTGAAACATTTTCACATAACCTCTCTCCCTGCCCTGCAATTACTATTAGTGACCTTCGCAGAACCTACCTACCTGCTTTCCCAGATGTTGGGAACACTCAATACAACCACAAAACACAGCTGATAAAAACTTGTAAATTCTTTACCATATCAACAGTCCGAAGGGTTTGAACTCAGAAGGCCGCTGGATCAGAAAAATGCAAAGTAGCCCTATAAGTGGCCTCCCAATTTCCCCCCATGCATTTTTTTTTTTACATTATAATGACACAATTGACACTGTGTAAGGCAGTCACCTGTCTAAGACAGCTACTTTTCTCCTATATTATGGATGGCCGTCTTAGACAAGTTTGACTGTATATCCCATGTCCTTTCTCTCACCTTCTGTAAGTCCTCGTAGAACAAGACAAGAACGTTGTCATCATCACGGCATTTCCAAGCTTCCAGAACATGTTTCCACCACGGACCATATATAGCTGGAGAAACAAATGGTCTGTCATAAATCAGTCTCTCAGCAAAGAGCTGAATAGTTTATTATATATCTATGCAGTATGGGAGTTATCGCCCTTCAGTTATACGATATGATAGTTAAGAGCAAATACTTCTGATTTCAGAGTCCATCTTTGAGAGAGGAAGTAGGTAGAGACCATGGAAATGGAAAACAGTCCAACTTCACATCATCATTGGGTTGTTGAGAAGAATGTCCTGACAAGGATTCAAATCTAGGTAGAGCCAGATCTGCAGTTTAGCATGACCCCTACTGAGCTATGACAGTTTGCATTCAAGTAAGATAAAATTTTCTTCTAAAATAACGTGTACTTCTGATACTTCAACTGTTGAAAAGTTAAAGATTTCTACATTTTTAAGTTGATAAAGAGTAAATAGGATTTTTTTAAAGGACACATGCCATTAAAATGACCTTAAGGACTACTTTTTTCTCTTTTACACACAGACACAAGCATTCGATCAACACACTTCACTTTGTGACAATTGACGAAATAATTTAGTTGTTCATCAGTTCTCCTAAAAAAGAACTCGGATAAAATTGATTTTGTATAACATATGTATAATCACGGTGCTTTTATATATAAGGGAGAAAAAAAAAGGAAACTGAAAAGATATGGGTCACAAAGTGGTGTAATCAGGCGCTCGTCAATTTTACAGCACAAGGAGCTATTGGTATCATCTTAAAGCTTGTTCATTTGTCTTGCTTTTAGTGAAAAAAATGCCAATCTATCTTGATTAGAAGACGAAAAATTTACAATTGAAGGAGATGGGGGTCGCCTGGTGTTAGAGGTAAAATTAGTGAGAAAATGGCCAACAAAGTTTAGTAACCTCCAAAGCTTGAGTGACCTTGGAAACTGTAAATTTACATTTTTTGTGCTTTTGGTTAACATTTGTCTGTAAAATCCACAGAAATGTGTTCTTAATTGAACCTAAAGGTGTTGAAACCCCCCCCCCCCCCCCTAAAAAATTTTATTTAAAAAACTGTCAAATGGTCAGAAAAATGCCTGTTTCTTTGATTTCATTATTTTGAAGAGCGCCCGGTTTCACAATGATGCCTCGCACTCGCATATGGTTTTACAGTCAGGTCACATTTTTCCGCGTCCTCTTGATTCATGTTTAAGGAACCTTTTTATGATTAGACATAACATCAGCAGAGCAAGCCCTTTTTCATCTTAGGTTTAGTCTTTTTAGTCTTCTGGTCTCTTCCGGTCTCAGTGTGAAATACACTTGAACCTGGTCTAACTGCCACCTGCCCAAGACAACCATCTATACAAATTACCACTTCACACTCAACCCTCCCCCATGTGGGTTTTTTTAAAATATTATAAAGACACTGTCCTAAAAAGTCCACCTGTCTCAGACAACCAATTTCTTCTCGACATTAGGTGGCCGTCTTGGACAATTCTGACTGTATTTTATTTCAGAAGCTGCAGACCACATACCTTTGTCCTCTGCGAAGAGCTCACAGAACTGGTCATAGGTACCTTGAAATCGTTGCACGGGAGCAAAAAACTTGACAGCGAAGTGGTAGAGGGACACAAGGGTATCTTTAGGATTTCTTGCTATGTAGATAATCTGGGAAAATGAAGAAGTATATTATTATTATACTCATTAAATAGTTTAAGATTGACTTCTCCTGTGGTAAATTGCATACTGTCAAACCCCATTATAGTTTATACCACCTACTTTGGGACAAGCATGAAGTTGGTGACACAGCGGGGCTGGCGGTACAAAAGTACAGCATTGATTGCCATCTTGGCGAGTGGTAGACTGACAGAGACTAGAGACAAACTGTGGTCAGTCTTGACTCATCTTGATCTGTCTTGCGCGATTGCCATGCATAGGGGAAAAAAACCGAGTAGAAACTAATTACACGTACAGCTTCAGAATCACTTTACGTACTGTATATTCTAATGAAAAATTTTTCTCAGATCAGAAGCTAAGATATATGTGTTGAGGACCCTGTAGAAGCAGGTTTTTTTTACCTGATACTTGTTAGTCCTCGGACCACTTCAGACCTTCCATGCACACTTCAATGTGATCCCTCACAATATATAAGTATAAGCATTACGGGTGTCCCGCTAGTATTTTGGTCATATTGGGCTGATGTCGGAAGACGCCAGATGTTTTGCAGACAGCAAAGGTGGCGCAGTTCCTTTAGAGTTTCTCTAGGTGACTTTATAATTTTATTCCGATCTAGTTTTTAAAAAAATATTAGCTAAACTTAAAAAAGCATTTTCATAATCAGTGCAAATCAGGAGCAAATCAGTGACTAAAGATAGAAATAGGCAGAACTCGCAGAGACGTGTGTGGAACAGAGATTTCCAAGCAGCAACCGAGTGTGCCATGTGGAGTGTGTACCTCTGGAGGCCAGTTGACTGGCGGTATAGGGGGGCAAATTTACATTAATTTAATAAGGACCATACAACAAGACAGTTGGCAGATGGCGGTGTAAAGCGCAAATACTATGTTTATATGGACAGTTTCCTTAAGTACAGTGGCAAAACCTGGAAGCTAGCGGGGCTGGTAGTATAACGAGGCGGTATAATCAGGTCTGACTGTAATTGATATGCCACGTTATCTGTAAAAATTCATGATAAATTCCATTTCACTAAAAATACAAGTAAGTATTATATTGTCACAAAATGTTGAGAGATAACTACAATTGACTTGATTTGTGTTGATCTTGCTTGAGCTGATCTTCAGTTACGCCTCTTCTTCTTTACAGGTCCCAATAGGTAAGTGGAACTTTAGATGAGTTGTTCTTTTTTTCACTTCCCTGACGACATCAACTTGACTTATTCGTAATCAACTGTATTAATTATTCCTCAGACAAGACAATGAAGCAAAGCAATATCACTTCCAAAGAGAGGAATGAACAACATCATATTTAGTCAGATATTTGTGAGTTTGCCTGGATAAAGGTCCCAGTTGTCGAAAATTTTGTATTGAAATAGGGTATTTAAAAAGTTTTTTCAAATATCTTGCGTAGTTTTCATTTAGAAACATAGGGTGTAAATTATGGAGAAAAACCCAATTTCTAGAATTTAAGTACAACATGCTGAAAAAAATTTAATCAAAAAAATATCTAGCCGTAAGATATCAGACCTCTATAAAAATCCTTTCAATATGCTATTATACAATATATATATTTAAACATGTGTTTTCAGATGTAACTAAATTTTTTACCAGTACAAGTTTTTAGGGCTTTTCACCTTTATACGTTGTACAGTCTCTCTTTTTATCGATGAAGTTTGGAAGGAAGAGAAAAAAAGGGAAGTGGCTAACAGAAGTCACCTCCCTATCCTGAAGGAGTGTTTCCTTTGATCTCTCGAGCAAATAATAAGAAAAAGTAAATTAGATCTCCTTTAAACATGTGCATGGCAGGCTCAAAAGAGATATATTCCTTCCTTGAACCCTTCAGAGTTTTTCCAAACCTTTGGTTTTTTCTCCTTCATTTGATTTGGCAGCAGGGGAAATGGCAGGTGCGTTTTGATACGTCGTGGTGATGGCAGGTCATTGATCGCTTTCTTGCCAGGGTAGGGGAACTCAAAAAAAGGGAATCTATCATCCATTGTGTTCTTTTCTGCCCCTTCAAAGTCCAAGTTAGTGTCGATCAGGTACACCAATTCTTGGAGCCACGTTGTTCCTGAAATATAATGATTGGAACAAAAAATTATTCAGGTGTACAGTCCTAATCGTATGGCCATATGGATAAGTAATACAATGAAACTCGGAATATAGCAAAGTCGTCTGGCCTAACCTTAAATTTGTTCAAATCTGAGTGTTTGTTATAACTTTGTGAGAAACAAGTCGCTTTGCAGTGTAGGGCCTAGCATAGCAATGTTTCTTTTCACAGACCAGCACACAAATTACTGCGTAGTTTATTGTCCAGGCTAGCCTATCACTGTTAAGTAGCAGGGGGAAGGAGGCTGGATGATTGTTGCGTGTCTGCATCTCTACTGACGTTCCACACTTTTGCCTATGCTTCCACCACCTTTCCTCAAGACATGCGCAGTAACAGAGCCACACATGTTCTGGACGCCAATCTGACCTCTCCCGACCGTAGCATAATATGCTAAAACACATCATGTCTTATGTAGATGTCTACAACACACCTGTTGATGTGAAGAAAATTTTTGACTGGTTGCAAAAGATGCATGCAAAAGGCTAAAGAGTGCAATGATCAATGGTGCAGGTGCAGTCTCTTGAAACAGATTATAGAGTAGAGTAGACAAGTTTCATAGCGGGAGAAAAATGCATGAAGCCACATCAGCAGAGCTGACTGTTCGCCCGGCAAGTGGCTTCATTCAATCTGAGTTTGCTCATTTTAGTATTTGTTAAGCTCGAGTTATTTTTGTTGATTTTAATTTCAATGAATACATAATTTTTTTTTAAAAAGGGAATCTTTCTATCGCCTTTTCTTGAATGCGAGCTTGTTGTAGCTGAGTTTCACCATTTTTAGACTGTCAAAGTTTTGGTTTCCAAGTTTTGAGAAGGAGAGGGAGAGTGGTGAATTATTTTTCAAAGAAACAAGAGTTGACACTACAGTGTGACTTGCACTGTATACACAAGCACCTTGGAATTCGCTTGTAAACTGAAATCTGTGAGACTGTCCGATTTTTTCTGTTTAGCCATATTTTCACTTTAAGTTTAAGAGAGATTGCTAAAAAAAAAAAAAAGCATGCACATTAAAGGGGGATAATTCATTCTAGAATCCGAAGATCTAATCTGGGTTATGTCCCTTCGCTTTTAGGAAATGGATAACATAGCTGTTCCCATTGGCACTCAGCTCACTCAACACTACAGTGGAGTCCACTTATAACGTCCGAGTCCTGAAACAACGAGAAGTCTGTTATAAAGACACTGTTCTAAATAATACCCCATTTTTTCCCTTCTTTATCTTTGTAAATAAAATACTGCTATTGCGCAATCCAGACCGTCATGCGAGTCGTTTATAACGGAATATTGCTGCTGCTGTCCACAGGCACAGACCAATTAAACATTATTATAAAACCTTGCCAGTTAAGAAAGTTGTCGGTGATCCAGCGAAACAAGGAATGGGAGAGCCCACGCGAACCAACAATGAAGGCCGGGGCGAATGAGTGGAGAGGGTGTGGCATGCGCAGACACAAGCAGAACGCATCGCGTGATAGGCCAGCCCAGTCTAGATTATCTAGGCATACCGTGCCTCTCACTTCTCTGGTGAGGGATGGAGAGGTCACAATGCTGTGATAGATGGAGTGAATGTATGACGTGCGCGAGCAGACGCAACGCGCCACAGTGTGTGGTGGGGTGGGGGACAACACTGCGGGCGAGTTAGCCTATAGCCAGAGCCCCTTCTTTCTGATCGCCAAGGCCGATTTGTCAACATTGCTAGTGCTCGAGAAAGAAACCTGATTCGATTTTTTATCCAGTAAGACCTTGAGATCATGTTGAACAAAATCATCATCAGGGGAAATACAAAAAGGAATAAACAGAATGCCAAATCTTAGATTAGGCCTACTTTACTATTTCCCTTGAATTTATTACTGGATCCCTTGTAACGAGAATCCTGCTATAACGGACATTTCGCACCGGTCCCTTCCTTCTCGTTATAACAGGATTCCACTGTACTAAAGCTACTTTATTTGCTTTTTTGGGTGGGGGTTGCTTTGTTTTGTTTGCTGGTTTTCTTTTTTGTCGTTTCAATTTATTTTCTCCCAGCAATTATGCTTGACAGCATAGATTTGGAATGCCATGCCAATGCCCTGTCCTGTCAATTGCTATGAGCATGATAGGCTGTATCTGTATGTTAAGATACACACTACACACATTGCGTAAACAGTTTGCATCTATATATTATAGCACAAAAAATTGTAGAGGCTAGCTATAATTGAACACAACCACAAATTTTGTTTACCGAAATAGCCATCATAATGAGAGAGAGAGAGAGAGACAGGGAGGGAGAGAGAGAGAGAGAGAGAGAGAGAGAGAGAGATGATATTAAGTGACTATAATGAACCCACTAAGAAATTACTAAGAATGCTGTCATTTAACATGATATATATATTTTTTTTGTGGCATATAAATTACACGATTTTGCTATAAAATATGAGGCTAGACTGTTTCAAAGTCTAAGGGCTCGGGAACGACCCAAATGAAAAAAGGAAAGAATCAGGACGCAATAACATTAAATATTATAATACAACAAGTAACGGGACAGGGAAGGAATAAAATCAGCAATAAAGCCAGGTATTAAGACCCCCACTCCTATTTCTATCCTTCAAGAACATGTCTTATTTTACCTGCTTTTGGATAACTGACGATCCATAGGTCATCTTCTCGTATTTCAAACTGGTGAATACTCTTTACATCATCTACAACAAATTGAGGAAATATGAAGCCTCGGTAACGAAAGAGATATGGTCTCCTCCCGTATTCTCTGATTTTCAAATCCTCTATCCCCTTTGCTTTTCTTGCCATCCGCTTATATTGCTGAGCACCTATGGCCCCGAGCAGACAGACTCCAATAAAGCCTGATAAATAAGTGAGTAACATGAGTTTCTGATGGCGAGCTTTGCGATTCTTGTCTAATGGTTTCAGTTCTTGCTGAGGAATCTGAGAATACAGCCTTGACCATCTTACAAATAAATTTCTGTTACAAGATCTCACACCACAAGATATTTCCTGACAAAAAACCTTTGTAGCACTGGCCCCAGTCACTGAAGGAAATGAAGATGAGGAGCATCGCAGAGATGTACAAAAAGTTCTTTTGGCAGTTCGAAGAGTCCATGGCAGACTATTATGTGCTAGCATAATCTCCGATACTTGTGCTGATGGCTTGGAGAAGAACTGTGCCACATGTGTCGATATGACATTTTGAAAAGCAAAAATCCGCAGGCCAGCCATCACTGATGTAGTCAACTATATTTTATCTGCTTGTTGACCAAGTTCGAGATGGTTAAAAATGTAAGTTTGCTATAAAGACAAGTCTCAACTAAGTCTCCGGTCCTGCGACAAGATTCGAGTCTCAACCAAGTCTCAGGTCCTGCGATGAATTCAAAGTCAACTTGGAACGGACAACCATAGAAGGCCCTAGCCCATATGCCATAATAGTATATGCAGAAAACTAGATCTATAAATGACTCCAGTTCGAACCTCGTTTCTACGCTTTCATCATAAAGTAAGAAAGTAGATCTATAAAAGCTATCTCTTTTCCCCCTTTTGGCTTATTTACGAAAGTACGTGAAGTCGCACAGAAAGAACATCTTTGGTTCACTAGGACAGACGCCGGTACACCAGACACTAGGGTTCAGATTTCGTTTACTGCCGCAGACAAAATTGTACTTTTACATTAGCCGGCCAAAAATCCGTGCCAGGGAAAGGTGCGAGTAAGTAGAATTACTAAAAATGCCATGGGGTTTCATTCAAAGGCCTAACGGGTTGGATTTAATTGTTTCGAATAGGCCAATAAACTCAACTATTTCAAAGTTGTTTTGAGTTTTGGAGGGGGAGGGGGGTGCATACAGTTGAGATTCAATACATGTACTTGTCCTTTATAGAACGTAGAAAAACTTGGTCATGGAACATCACGAAAAAGCGGAGTTTAACCCGAAACCGACAACAATTTTGGTTCAAACAAAGATTCTCTATAGTGAGAATCTTTGGTTCAACTACGCCTTCTTCTTCTCCCTTTCGTGTAGCTGTCCTAAAAGTTCTTTTTAAAGTTGGTCTATAGTTGAGCCTGCTCTAATAATCACCTGTACAAGACAATCACCTATACAAACGACCACTTCTTCCCAATCCCTCCCGGTCCCCAACTTGGGGTGGTGCTGCAGTTAGAAAAGCAGTTTGGGACCAAATTACACAAAATGAGATAATTACACTTTAAGATTATTAGACATGTGCTGAACAATATCTAGAAAGTACACACGCCTCCCTGCACCCTAAAGTGGTGTTTGGGGAATTTCAGAGTATATGGTCAAGTCTCTTTTAGAGAAAATATTTGCCAATTTTGTCCAAAAAAAAGCATTCTATTTTTTTCACAGTTGGTACTATTTTTCTGCTCTATTTCTGACTCGATTTCAATAAAATTTTCACAGAATGTTGTTACCATATAAATCTAGCTTTTTGTAAGAGGAATTACTGATAAATGAGTTGGTTCTCAATCTGTGAGCTTGAAAAGTTAGATTTTTCCAGTTTTTCTGCTATTTCGCTAGAGCCGGATTTGAAAGTGCCATAAAATAAAAACTAAAGTAGATATAAAATATTCCTCTCACAGAAAGTTTCATTTTTGTCTTATAAGTGTGTATGCTAAGTATGAACCTAATCTGTTAGTAAATAAGGTGAACAAATTGTACCTCAATGTCTCTAAAATCCAATATGGCCGCCGTTTCCATGGTAACCGAATCAGTATTTTTTTTCCACAACTGCTTACAAATCTCCATTGTCATTTAATCGTCCACACTAAATATAAACTCCATAGGAGTGGTATTAGCTGAGATAGACTTATTCTGAAGCACACCCTCTTAAGAGACCTAATGACAAAGTCCAAACCTCCCATCCATAATACAAACACTTTTCTCATCGAGAAAGGATAGCCGTTTGGACGTTTTCGACTGTTTGTGGCCATTTAATTACTCGTGCAAAGCGTCAAGCAGGACTGGAGACACTTGCTGACTTGTTCCGACAATTTATTAAATTTTATATTATCTTGAGCAGCGTTTTCGTTTTTTTGTGCATTTCAAATGTAATCTTACATCTTTTGGGGGACTTCCTGCCCCCTCCCTTCTTACACAACATATATTATAATTTACATAGCTTTTTCTATTCATTTATATTATGCACGTGACAGTCTTTTAAGCCTTCGTGTGTGTGCAAGTTTGTTTGTGAGTGTG